TGTCTGGTGTAAACTGTCTATGGTGTAAACTTTTTCTGGTGTAAACCTTTGTTGGCTTTGTCTGGTGTAAACGACGTCTGGTGTAAACCGTGTCTGGTGTATACGGTGTCTGGTGTAAACGCTGTCTGGTGTAAACTGTCTCTGCTGTAAACTCTTTCTGGTGTAAACCTTTGTCGGTTTTGTCTGGTGTAAACCTCGTCTGCGGTAAGACCTTTTTGTCTGGTGTAAACGGTGTCCGGTGTAAACGCTGTCTGGTGTAAACTGTCTCTGCTGTAAACTCTTTCTGGTGTAAACCTTTGTTGGCCTTGTCTGGTGTAAACGACGTCTGGTGTAAACCGTGTCTGGTGTATAGACGGTGTCTGGTGTAATCGATGTCTGGTGTAAACTCTTCTCTGGTGTAAACCTTTGTCGGCTTTGTCTGGTGTAAACTTTTCCATGGTTACTTCGTCTGGCGTAAACAACGTGTGGTGTAAACCGTGCCTGGCGACATGCACCATCATCATCATTATCATCATCATCATCATCACCTTCATCATCATCATCAGCATCATCATCATCATCATCCTTATCATCCACATCATCATCATCATCATCATCATCATTATCATCATCATCGTCGTCAGCACCATCATCATCATCATCATCATTACCAGCAGCTACGTCATTGCAATCGTCATCGACCTCATCGTTAGCTCATGATCACAATAGCATATCACGGGCGTATCGTGAGATCATCATCTCATGGCACATCATATTTTCATATTTGATGTCATGTCATATTTTCTTTCACGGCATGAGAGTTACATGTGTTTCAGGTTGTGTTGTATTTGTATACTTGGCTTGAAATAGACCCAGCTGACTCGACGTGTTATTGTAGCTGATTGGATTTTTTCCGTCGTTTGCATCGGCATGACGGTGACGGCTTTAGCATGATCAGCATCAGATTTGTTGTTACAGCTGCTTGAATTTTTTCCTTTGTTGGCATCATCATGACGGTGACAGCTTTTAACATGATCAGCATCATTGACCTTTGTGTCGTATGGCTCGAAGGCAAGTGGACTCGCTTATTCTCGATCGACGGTCGGCAGAATCCGATCCGTGTGGTCGGTAGGGTTCATGAACCAAACGTATCTTTATACATAGATCAGTGGCGTTGGCGCGAGACCGCGAGTTGTGCGAATCTCGCCAGCACAGCCAATTCAACCGTGCGATCAATGGAGCTCATGAAACAAACGTATCTTACGTAGGTACCATCGACTTTATACATAGATCAGTTGCGTTGGCGCGAGACCGGAAGTTGTTCGAATCCCGCCAGCGCAACCAATTCAACCGTATGAAATCATGTTGGACCTTCGAAATCTTGTGTAGCTTTTTATAGCCATGGCTTCGTCTTCTTCCTCCAGTGGTCGCCTTCCGCTGCAGCGGGCTTTGCAAAATCTGCGGATGGAATGCGAGACTGGAGGTCAGCAGAGGTTACAGTCACAGCTCAATGGAAAGAGCATTGAAGAGCTGCGCAAGCTGTGCATAGCAGCTGGTGTGTCAATTCGACTTGGAGATTCTGACGTGAAACTGTCTAAGAGTGACTTAGTGCTTGAGCTGGTGAGGGTGTTGTCGACACCTGCAGAAGCTTGGTGGCAGATGTTGTGATTTGCCTACGTCGTCAAGCTACAATTTTTTTTTCCGGTGGATACACGGGAATACGTGCACGTGTATATGTAAAGAGTGGATCGTTAATCACATTGATGGGATCACGGCCAGCGCCATGCTCAGGATTCATCACAACCTTCAGCGGGTGACATTGAGCAGCTCGTCCAAGTTCTCCAGACAGAAGCTGCTGTCAAGGGACGGGAATGGTTGCAGTCGCAACTCGAGGGAAAGGACAGAGACGAATTGCGCAAGCTTTGTACGCAATTGGGTCTTTCCCACCGACGTGCGAACTCTACAAGTATGTTGACGAAGGCAGAGTTGGTGGAGCAATTGTTGCCGGCATTGTCTCCATCTTTGGACCCGTGGCTGCCAGTTTGATGACATGACATAATGTGATGATTCGTATGTGACAAGTATTCTATAGAAATATTTGTTTTTATTGATATGCACTTTTGTCTGTGCACGCGACACGTAAATGTTGTCAGTACACATGAGATATAAATGTTGGATGGGCATATTTTTTGTGAGAACGTTGTACGTTTCAGGTTCTTCGACAGTATGACATAACAGGAGGTTCGGGAATGCATGTGTTCATCCGGTTCTGCAACGTTTCGACTGGCTTTGCTCATTTTAGATGGAGCCCCATACTCAGGAATCGTCGCAACCTGCAGTGAGTGACATTGAGCAGCTCATCCAAGTTCTGCAGACGGAATCTGCTGTCAAGGGACGGGAATGGCTGCAGTCACAGCTCGAGGGAAAGAGCACCAGCGAACTTCGTCAGCTTTGTACATCGTTGGGTCTTTCCCGTCGACGTGCGAATTCTACAAGCATGTTGACGAAGGCAGAGCTGGTGGATCAGTTGTTACCAGCAATGTCTCCATCCTTGGACCCCTGGCTGTCAGTTTTAGAGACAACATGACAGGACACGATGTGATGATTCGTATGTAACAAGTATTCTTTATGCGTTGTCGTTTCAATTTGTTTGTCCGAGGCCTATAGTAGTGTATCTTTTCACTGCTATACACTTTTGTTTGTACACATTCATCAATAGTATGACATGATATGAGGTTAGGGAGTGCATGTGCTCATCCGGTTCTGTAACTTTTCGAATCGCTTTGCTCATTTTAGAGTGGACCCCATACTCAGGAACCATCGCAGCCTGCAGTGAGTGACATTGAGCAGCTCCTCCAAGTTCTGCAGGCCGAAGCTGCTGTCAAGGGACAGGAGTGGTTGCAGTCACAGCTGCAGGGAAAGGACATTAACGAACTTCGGAAGCTCAGTACGCACTTTGGTCTGTCTCATCGAGCTGCTGACTCTCTGCGTAAATTGAGCAAGGCAGAGCTGGTGCATCAGTTGCTACAAGCAATATCTCCATCTTTGGACCCCTGGCTGCCAGTTTGTGAAACAACATGACAGGATGTGATTGTTTGTACGTGACATGTGTTCCCTATGTATCGTTTTGCATTATAATACTTTCGTTGCAAGTATCGTCTACAGCTACCAAGACTTGCGCAGCATAACCATTGAGGACAGACCTCAGCAACCGATCGCGACCGGGAGTTGTCCGAAGCCTTTGGTTGCTAAGTATGTCTTCGACGGTAGTGCTGTGCATGCTGTTGCACTGTGACATTTGGACGTTCGAATGGTTTCATGCAGACCAGTATCTTGCAATTTCGATACCCAGGAGGTGTTTCAACGCCGGGGATTGTTGTGGGTTGTCATTGTAATTTCGTGTTGTCATCGGTGGTTGTCGTCGTTGATTTCGGACCTGCATCGAGGATCTCCATACTTCGTTGGACGCTTTGCGAGCAGAGGCTGCAATTCGTGGCAAAGAGTGGTTGCAAGCCGAACTGGAAGGGAAGGACACGGATGAACTCCGAAAGCTCAGCTCGGTAGCTAAACTGCCTACAAGAGTTGCTGTTTTCAAGACGATGTTATCGAAAGCGGAACTGGTGGGTCAGCTGCTGAAAGCCTTGGCTGCGAATCCTGAGACTCGATGGCATGTAGCGATGTAGCGCTAATGGGATCATTCAGGTTTGGGATTTGGATGAGATCTCTTCATCCAAACACAATTTCGCACAAAGCTATATATATATACATATACCATGGTCTCGCACCTGCATACAGTTACGAATAATACTAGTATCTGTTCAAAGTACTTGCATATTTGAGAGACTCGATCGACCCAGGAAGAGGCTCCACCGAAGGCACCGCACCAAATCTGGCAATCCCTGTGTGATGATGTGGAAGTGAAAGGCCAGGAGTGGTTGCAGAAGGAGTTGGAAGGAATGGACGCGAATGAATTGCGGACGCTATGTGTACCTGCAGGTGTTTCTTGCCGGGCAGGGGACTCTCGGAGATCAAAGGCTGGTGGAACTGCTGACGAAAGCAACTTCTCCATCCATTGAGCCTTGACAACAGCTTTAGGAAAGAAGCGTTTGTTTGTCTTTTCGTTCTGATTGGTATGTTGGAATTTTGCTTTTGTTGTTGTTAGTTTTCAGGACGGTGGTGAGTGTGATGTTCTGACATGTCAGCGATAAGGTAACCGCTGAGCAACTGAAACTGGAGGCGGTACAGCAAGGCCCCAATGCACGGGCGTGGCTTCGTCGCAAATTGAACACTTTCTCGGCCAAGGTAGCCAAGGATTCAGTGGACGGCCGAAGCCCGCTGGCGGCGCTGGGTGCTGAAGTCGGTGTGGAAGACTGTCTGTCTAAGAAGGCGCTGATCGAGCGCATGATCGCCGTCTTGCTGCCAGAAGAATCATTGGACAGCAGCGCCGCGGTGCAGCGGCATGCTTGGCGATTGCTTCGGTCCTGTCTTGGAAGACAAGCAGCAGGCGAGCAAATCGATGCCGATTTCTTGAGCACAGAGGTAGTCGACGCAGATCTTCGGCTGAAACTTCTTGCATGGTGTTTGTGCATTCCGATGGACACTCTGGTGGGACGTCACTATAGCTCTCAGCAGACATTGCTGGAATTGATTCGTAGTCTTGGTTGCATTATGACACACTTCAATTCCGTTTCGGACGTTTGGGCCACACTGGATGTTGACTTGCAAAAACTTGATGCTGATGCTGCATTGCAGCGCTTTCCCAACCTTGAACGCGAGCACGTCATCGCTTTGCTGGCTTGCGTGTTGCACGAGAACCCAGTGAAAGCTCAAGGACGGCGGTAGTTTGATCAAACAGCTGAAGGTTCAGTCTGTTGAAGGTTGTTTTTGCTTAGCACGAGAACATGGAGTTGTTATTTGTTGTTTCCTTGACAGGTTTGTTTTGTCTAACGTTTGCTTTCATCAATGTTTTTGGTTGGGTTGCAGGATGGAAACAGTTGTTGGATTTTGCGGATTCCGTCGATATGTTTGATGTTGCTGAACGTCTTTGGGATCTGCAGACAGTGCGGATGGAACGGCAGTGGAATGAACCAACAGGCTTCGAAGATCAAGAGGACGTTTTAGAGGCGAGGGTGCATGACAGCATGACTCTTTATAGGTAGGGTACCTGTTTATTTTCTTCATTTTTCGTCGGAGTGTTTTGGTACAATGCTTTCAACCGAATGTTTTGTCTCGTGTAGTACGATCCGTTTGCGAGGCCGTTCTACAAATTCTGCATGGCCGTAGGGCCACAGTGGAGACGGATGGCAAGTCTCGGAAGCGCAAGGGTGCTTTGGATGATGCCGACAAGGCCTTTCTACGTGGTCTCATGCGAAGGTATGGCTTGGAACTGATAGATCATCCGGAAAAGCCGTGTCTGTGGCAGGAAGTGTTCACCAAAGCAGATTTTCTGCAGACACTGTGGTTCGTCATACAGCGACTTCTGCATCCACGTGCATCTGGCGAGTTGACGGCTCTGCGTTGCCTCCATCAACCTGATCGCATTGCTGCACTTAGAGCTTCCAGGAGTCGGGGCGTTGAATGTAGAGGGGTAAATTGTTTGGTATGGTCGTACATTCTTTAGTTTTTGGACGTCAGTATCGTTGTTGGTTGTCGATTGGGTAAAAGGCTTTACATCATAACCCTTGAGCCTTGCGAAGGAATGGCGTCCATGCCGATGTGTTGTCCCTGCATCAAGAGTTGCTGGAGTGGCAAATGGACACGGGGACGAGTAGACTGCCGAATGAATCTGAAGACAGGCCTTTGTCTTCGAAGATTGACAGCTACAAGGAGAAGGACAGAAGGAATCGCATCTCAAGCATGAAGAAGGCTTATCCTCCTGATTTTGAACCTTTAGAGCAGTTGTCCTTGGACTGTCTTACTGGAGCAGGTGACTCATCGACAGGTGTGCAGTGGCGTTCTGAGTTTGAAGAGCAACTTATGCTTTCTGTACCTGGCTGGACAGAGGATGCAAAGAAAAGTCGCACTTTTCATACATTGCAAGAAGTCCTCCAATGCGGCGATGTGTTTCTTCAACAATGTTTTGCGACGCTGCAATCTTATGGATTGTCTCTTCAGCGCAAATTGAGCGTTCTTGCTGCCAAGTTGCAATGCACTCCTAGCATACCAGGTGTGGCGGAAGCTATGTCCACTCGATTACTCTCAACTCCACAGGACACAGAGGAGATGGAGCTCAACAGATATGTTTGTCGGTTGTGCGACTTTCAATGTGCAGACAAGGAAGTCTTGCAAGAGCACATCAAGGACGCTCATTCGAATGACACTGAGGTTGCAAGAGCATGGGTGGAATATCGCAAGAAAGTGGTTGGATTATTGCATCATGCAGGACCTTCGGTGTCCTGGCGTTTGTTAGTGTCATTTTACTTGCTTAGGCAATTCTTGTGCATTCGATGTTCTGTGATCTATTTGGTCATCATGGAAAATGTTAAAAAATCAGGGACTCAAAAATCAGTGTTTTTCTCCTTAGCGGAGTCTGTGCACTAATCGGTCATTATGGAAAATGTTATTTTTTGAGTCCCTGATTTTTTTAAAAAAATCAGGGACTCAAAAATCAGTGTTTTTCTCCTTAGCGGAGTCTGTGCACTAACCGGTCATTAGGGAAAACGTTGTTTTTTTGAATCCCCGACTTTGTTAAAAAAATCAGGGACTCAAAATCAGTGTTTTTATACTTAGCGGGGTTTGTGCACTAATCTGTCATTGTGGAAAAGGTTCTTTTAAAGACTCAGGAACTTGACAATGAATGTATTCGATGAGATAAGTTTTTGAGTTTCAGACATATTCGAAAACGTGTCCGGTAAATCGATCCGGTCTCAGGTTCCCTCTTGGACTGTGCAACGCAGCTTGATGGCCAATGCGGATGCAGCATTGCGAGAGCCAGGACGGGATGGAGCACTGCGTGAGGAACGGGCATGTGTGGTTTGCGCTCGTAGATTCTGGAGCGAAGAGTTGCGTCCAGTTATTTTGTTCCAAGATCCAGCTGCTGGAGCTCCAGAGACGGTGGACGGAGAAGAGGAAGATCAGCGAGTGAAGAAGATTGCACCTTCGCAACAACGTCGACTGTGTCGAGTTCTGGGCGTACAGCGCTACCTGGAGCGTTGGCCACAGCTACAGGCCCGTCCAGAGGCCATTGCAGAGCTGAAGGCATCGGCGGTCGAGCATCCATTCTTGAAGGAGGAGCTGCTCCTTTTACATCGACGCCGAATGCCAGCTGATGTCAGGGACCCATGCGACGTTTGCCGAGAATGCTGTGGTCCCTTGACATCAAGCATGGTGAGCCTTCCTCGGTACAGCTTAGCCAATGATTTGTGGATCGGTCGACAACTTCCAGCTTTGAGAAACTTGGCAGCGGCCACCAAACGTTTGTTACCAATGGTGCGCACCTGTCTGCAAGTCACTGTTCTGCAGCCCGGTAACCTCGTTCGAGAGGAACGGCAGAAGGGCTTCATCGGCAACAGCATCTTTTTGCCGCAGGCTGCGCCCACAGCCATTCGAGCTGTCCTTCCGCCGCCAGAACAGGACATGCAGGAGTCCATTCTCTTTGTTTTGGTCGGCGATGGACAGAACAAAACAGCCCTTCAAAGCAGTGCATTGTTGAAGGCCCCTCGTGGCGAGTACGAATCTGCAGTTCGATGTCTTCAAAGCACTTCGCCGTACTACGAAGAAGTCACGCTTCGGGACGCTGGTGAGTCTACGTTGCAGGGTTGCATTTTGGAAACCGGTGTCAACAGCTACTTAGCCAAACAGTTGCTTCAACAGGGCCCGGCTGATGCACAAGGACAAGAGGATGATGATACCGAAGAAAATCAGGAAGCGGAACCAATGGAAGATGCAGGTGGAATGTTTTTTTTTTTACAGTTTGGTCGTGTAGTTTAGTGTTTCTTCCTGACGTTTTCCTTTGCTAGTGCGAACTTTGAATGAGAACGGTTCGAGACCGAAAGTTGTTCGAATCCTACCGTTGCTCATTCGAAGTGTAACTTGTGGATTGGTCATGTGATCGGGAGTTTCTTTACAATGACATCGTGAAGTTTCATGTGTTTTTATTTCACACGGTTTGTTTTCATAGTTTAAACTTGAATGAGAACGGTTCGAGACCGAAAGTTGTTCGAATCCTACCGGTTCTCATTCAAAATGCGGCGCGTAGTTTTGTTTGACTGGTTTGTATTTTGAATGATGACGGTTTGAAACAGGAAATTATTTGAGTCCCACGTTTTTTTCATTTCAAGTGAAACCTGTGTAGTCGTGTTGTATGCTTTGAAGGGTGGCCCGAAGTAGCTTTGAAGAACCATTTAGCGCAAGTTGTTCTCACGACGTCGAATTCGACAGGTCACTTGGTGTCGAGCATCGTGGGCCTCAATGATGGTGAGGACGAGCAATGCAAATGGTTGAAAGTTGGTCGTGATATGCAAGAGCTCTGTCGTCGCAAGCCTGGATCCCGACTCAGTGTGGCACAACAAGTTTGCAGAGATCGAGATGGCAACGTGGTGTCTGATGGCTCATCTGCCCGGAGTTCTCAACTCCTTGGTCGCGAAGGACTTCGAGAGCGACAGGCCCTAGGGCAGATCAAGAGCATCCAAAGTCTGGCGGCCCAGTCTGCACAGAGTCATCGGCAGGTGGAAGCGGACATGTTCCAAGTCCGACCTTCCAAACTGGTGGTGCCGTCACAAGGGTCGCCTGCTTCTATGTTTGAGCCTTCGACCTGGGCAATGGCATTTCCGGACTTGTTCCCCTGGGGCGATGGAGTTCCATTTCTGAAGCGAGAGACTCGCATGGATGCAGCAGAGGTCTTCCGATACCTGCTCATCCGCGAGGAGCTGCAGTACAAGCTACCGTCAGAGTCGGAGCTTGTTTCTGCCCCTTTGCCACGATGGTCTCTATCAGTGGCTCGCCAGGTTGGTGGTTGACGATTTGTAGATTAGCATCGAGTTAACTCGTTTGTTTTTCTTTTAGATTGTGTTCCGGATGCAGAGCGTCAAGAGTTGAGTTACGTTTTTTTTTTGGTACCGACACTCCGACACTCGCTCTTTTTTGTTTAGGTTTATGTTTGGAATTGTCACGAACCAGTGGAATCTTGTTAAGGAGACATTGTTGCCTGTGATGTACGATGTGCAGCGACGATTGGAGCTTATGAAGTCTACCAAAGCATATGTGCAGCGTCGTGGCTTCGCAAAGCATCTCAATCTCATCGCCAATGTGAGCACAGAAGATCTTTTGAAGGCAATGGCATTGCATGGGGAAGCTGCGGACATTCGAACTCTGATGCAAGATGCCAATGTAGATCCAGCTTTGAAACGTGCTCTGGGCGGAGTGCTGCAATCAACCGCCAATATCATCGGCTTGGAAGGACATCGCAGTCAAATTCGACTTCGTGGTCATGCAGCCGGTTGGCACTATGGCAATGCGCATCTTTTTGTCACACCCAATCTGGCTGACGTTCGTGCACCGTTGATGTTGCAGCTGCATCTGCAGACGAATGGCATTGCCGAAGTGGAGGCACAGAGTATTTGCTTGGATTGGGACGATGAAATCCCGGGCTTGCCTACGGCTGCGACCATGCGAAGAATCATTGCTCGAGATCCAGTGTCCCAGGCTCGGTTTTTCCATCTTATGATGAAGATCTTTTTCGAAGAGCTGCTTGGCATCGAGCCGACTTTTCAAAAGGAACGGTATGCAGTTGGATTTCCACGCTGCTTCGAAGATGGCATGGCAACTTCATTGTATGGTGGCATCTTTGGTGATATTGCTGCTTTGTGCGGCCCGCTCGAAACGCAAGGAGAATCGAAGCAAGTAAATCGGATGAGTTTTAAATCTTGTTTGCAAATATATATCGTGGATGATATGCCATATGATCTCATTGATGTGGTTCTGTGCGCCTACCTACATACATACATACATACATACATAATTTGATACATACATACATACAGACATACATACATACATATATGCATACACACATGATATATGTTTGCTTTGGATACCGATTGTTCGAGGTCGGTAGTTGTTCGATTCCGGGAACGTAAGATTCACTGATGAAGTAAAAAATACTAGTGACTGTCAGGACGTGGATCCATGCATCCACATATCCTCATCGTCTTGCTGGGTCATGACCTCATCAGTCGTGCGCACACCTTGATGCGTCGCATTGGACATGGCGAGCTGGTGGTGGAACTGCAAAGGTGGAGTCGCAAAGTGTTGGAAGCTGCTGCGAAGATTCGCTGGGACAGTCAATTGGCTTTGTCCGATTGCTTGAATGTAGAAGGTACACCTTTGCCGTTTTCCGAAAAGCAACGCAGTGAGTGTGGCAAACAATATGCGGAGGTACCGCTTCAAGCAACGGAACCAGATGGTCATGAGATCATTGCCGATCGAGAACAACAAGTTGGTCCTCCACGTTTGACTGGCTGCTTTGCATCGCTGCGACCGCGATATCTACGACGCAAACTTCATGAAGAGTTTCCCCGTGAAATTTGGAAGACTGCCTTTTGTTCTGATTATCGACGACTGGTGATTCAGAATCATTTCCACAAGTGCACAAAGTCGTGTTTCAAGAAGATCCTCGACCAATTTAGTGCATTTTTTGTTTTGATAGAAAGTTCCTTTCGTAACCACCTTTTGGAGCATGTTGTGCATAAGTTTTGAAACTAGTGGCCAGAACTCAAACGGAAATATTATAGCGGTATATACTTGTGGGACTATATGATGAGACCATGTTGAAATACAAAAAGGAAGAACATTGTTCGAGACCGGAAGTTGTCCGAATCTTACAATTTGTCTTCCATCAGAAGTAGTAAAGTCGATGTATATTAAGATCTGTTTGATATGGGAACCTGGTAGTGAGAGATAATATTTTGTTTCTGTGGTGGAAAATTGTTCGAGACCGGAAGTTGTCCGAATCCTACAATTCATATTCCACCATCTTTATACGGATAAATGTATAGATGTATGGAAATAGTAGCAAGAGTTAGGACACGGTTTGGAACATCTTCATTACGATGGTGTGTTTTTGTTTTTGCCAGGAGTGCCAAGAAGGGAAAGCGAGGCTGTCGATTTGGTTGCTTTCATGTCGAACTTTTCAAAGACGAGACGGATGGGAAGATGAAAACACGTTGCTATAAAGGATGGCCTCGAGTTCAAGAACCTCGATTTGTTCGATTGCCTCATGAAACAGCCGATGTCACATTGCTGGAGCATTTCAAAAATGAGAATCCACACGTCACGCAGCCTCGCCGTGATCATCCTTTCGAGGGCATGAGCAATCCTGCAGCTCAAGTGGTCATGCGATGTAACGTGGATGTGAAGTATTTGGGTCGTGCGTTCGATGCAGCTGATTTGGAGAAAGTAGCATCAGAAGTCGGTGGTTTGTCCGCACTGGATCCTCAAGCATTGCCTGATACTGATGCTGAGCCACAACAGTCTACAAGTGCCTCCAGTGTTGATGTCCCAATGCACGACGTCAATTTGGACAGTGGAGATGTCGATGACAGCATGCAAGTTGTTCGGGAACAGGTGAAAAAGCGGAAGACTGCCACCATGAATGCTTTGGGCCCTCACAAAGATACTTCGCAGTTCTCGCATACCATGGAGCGGATTCTGATTGATATGTTTCGTGACATGGAGGATGTGCAGTTCTACACTGGTGAGTATGCAAGTAAGAAATTTGAGGTCTCCAGAAACTTGCTCCCTGAACTGTATGCTGGTGTGCAGAAGTTGGAAACAGAAGAGACCGAGCGTCTCCAAAGTGCCAGCATCGCAGAAGATGCAACTGCGCCCCAGGCAGCGTCCTCTGCCAACCTGCCTGGGGGTCAGCAGCAGCACAGGGCACTCAGCATCCTCCGACGCCTGGCTTTCGGCATGCAGCGATGCGTTGCAAAATCCAACGGAGAGATGGCGTACCAGCTTTTGTACGAACAGGAACAGTATGTGACGTTTGGAGGGTACAACATGTTCTTCCGCTACATCCCCTATGCAATCATGCAATGCCGATTGCAAGCACTCACGGATGCGTCAGCCGACCATCCTGAGTGCGCCGTGCCACCCCTCGATGTCCCGCCTCCTGATGCAGCGGCAGCCTTGCCCATTCAGGAGGTGGCGGACATCGAGGAGGAGGTGGACGGCAGGGGAAGCAAGAAGCAGCAACTGGCACACTTCAACCAGAAAGATGACTTCTTGCATCGCGGTTCCCATCCACTGCTTCGTTCCATGTCGCTGCTGATGTATTCCAGGTTTGTTCGACGTGTGGATCGCTCCAAAGCAGGTCAGGCCGATGGATTGCAGTTCTTCGAGTTCGATGCACACTATCCACATCACCGTTCTTCGCTGCAAGAGGTCCGACTTGCGGACAACAATGTGGTCGTGCCAACCGACCTTCGTCTCCCGGCCGACCACGAGACAGAAAAGCTGGCTGCTTACATGTTGGGCTTGACTTTTCCGTTCCCAACTTGCACCGGCGATTGCAACAACTCGCAGCATTGCTTCGCTTGTCATGTCGTGGAAGTACATGAAAGCCGTCGGGAGATCACTGCACGATTTACACCCGTTTGGCGGCATTGGAATGCCAGCATGAAAGTTCGACAAGAAGCAGCGCAGACAAGAATTTTGGCTGGTCTATCCGTACCGGTGTTGCGAGATGTTGTTGGTGTGCGAGCATGGTACAGTGCAAAAGCAACTCCTGGACGTCGTTTGTTCGCCGACTTCATGAAGAAGCTTGCGCAGCAACATCTGGGTCGGGTCGAAAGCGTGTTTGTGGATATTCCCCGCATTCATGAGCTGATCTGTATGTATTTGAATGTCGAGCCACAGTCGCACTATTCACAGTTGACTCCTTTGGAACACTTGTGCACTTTGCAGTTATCGTGGTTGGAACGATACAGGTTACACCAGGCGGCACGGCGACTCAGCAGCAGTCAACGTCGCGCCGAGCGCTTCGCCTACATGAGCAATGTTGACATGGAAGAAGCCGATCCAGAGGAGGATGAGACGGGTGCGGTGGACATTGAAGGCGAAGATGCAGATGATGACATGCAGCACGCAGATGCATTGGAACGCATGGAGTGTGCTCCACATCCAATCCACAAAGACTCTCTGGCTGATGCTTTGTTTCGTGATCGTGAGTGGTACGCTGTCATGGCGAACTCCAAGGCGAAGGCGTTGAAAACTTCTCTGCAGAAGTTGATGCAATTTGTGAATTGTTTGGGTGGCGTGCCCGATGTCAAGCATGGTATGGGCATCCGAAGCAATGGCACGACTGAGCTGGATCGGACATGGAGTCACGCAGATACTGGACGAATTTTTGCGGCGCAAAAGCAATATTTGGAATACATTGCCGGAGGCTAGGGTTTCTCGAACGTGTTTCCTTTGATGTAGTGACTGGATGCTTACACGTTTGGTTTAGTGTATTTTTGGACTTTTTGGTTCAGTTTTA